AATGAAAAGAATTGCTTCTCATGGTTAATTCATTTGCCAAAGTTCTAAAAGCTATTAAGCTGAAAAGCCAAAATTTGAACCCACATCTCCCTGACTGGGAATCCCATAGGCATTGATGTTAACCACTGGCCCTCTTCAAGTCCCAGGATTCACCTCTGTAGTCTATAAACAAGGGGGCTTTTCTATTCAGAAATTTATTTAGTCTTCACAATAACAGAAAAAACATCATCATCTTCATCATCTACACTATGCACATCACCAACACTAGCACCAACAATACTTCCATTTTACAAATAAGGAATCCAAAGATCAAGTTAAAGTTGTTACTCAAAATTATGTTTCTAGTAAATAATGTCAGCACTCATGTAATCCAAACCTAGGAACATGAAAATGTGAAGTTCCTTGTAAGAAATGAAGGCTTATTATAATTTTCTAGAAAATACTTATATCTTAAGATAAAATATTTTATTCACTAAAATAATTATTTTTAAAATGCTTTGGTTTTGCTATATTAGAAATAAGTTAAAAATCTAATATTAACAGAACTTTGCTCACTTTTTAAATTTAAGGCCAAAATTATTTAGATGTAGGTTTCTTGGGCCTAGTTTGCACCAAGAAACATTAGCAAATTTAGTATAAGTATTACCTAGTTTGTAATCTTTCTACAAAGCAGGGAATTTTGTCTAGGTCATTTATATGTCCCTGATGCCTGCAACAGTGTATAGCACGTATTTGTTTTGAAATGCAAATAAATTTAGAACAAAAATTGCTGTAAAGGGTCTGCAAAATCATTCTAGCCTATTCTTTCTAACAGAGGAAGAAACTGAGGAAAAGTTAATTGCTTACATCACAAAGCTGGTTAATAGCAGAAATTCAGAAACTATCTGTTTTATTAAGAATTGATTATGTTTATGATATACTACTTAATATAATGAAGTATTATATTAAGTGAATACTTAATATATTGAAGTGAATCTGTACTATTACAGCTATACAGTGTCTATGTAATTTGCTTAATTCACAGCAAAGCACCTTAGGTGATACAAAGGTGAGTAATAACTGGGTCATCTTTTAAATATTTTACATTGTAAATGGGAAATCAGACCGTTAATACAAGCCACCAAAATGTCTGTGAGAAAGTGATGTGCAGATGTATGGCAGATTCCAGAGGTTTCATGGAGTAAATACTGCATAGGTAAGGAAGGGAAATTCAAAATAGAGGAAACAGACTCATCTTAAGCAAGGAGACTGCTTCCAAAATGTCACCTCTTGAGGAAAAATGAATAGATTAATTTAGCTAAATCATAGCATTGCCAAACACCAACTGGTATCTTGGGCCAAAATAAAGAATGTAAAAAAAAGATACAACTGTCAGTACATCAAAATATGTTATCTTAAAATATGTTACTGTTAACATCACATCTCTCACTTTCTTATTTGTTTGTTTGCAGTGAAAGATAAGCAAGCTTAAGAAAACGGGTGTTTAGGCTTTTTAAATGTTTGTAAATTTAAAAACAGAAGCATTTTTCCTTTCCAAAAATGATGTGATATTTTAGGGTCCAAGTTGACTTAATTCACTGTTCAATGATGAATTAAAGAGATAATGTTGCATAAAGGTCTCTGGGCTCCTGAGCTCAGAAAACTGGAGCTTAAATTAAACAAATTAATGGATGCAAGAAAGAAGCACAGAGTGTGGCTTTAAATATGTCCCCAACTATTAGTAATTATTTTTATTGTTACAACTGTTGTTACTATAGTAAAATGAAAATGAGTTGATACAAAGCATTATTAAAACATCTTAGAAAGTATTAATTACTACATAGAAAAAAACACACAATAAGCAGGCTTGAGGAGATCATTTTCTAAATTATCTGTTTTTCATCTATTTCTATGTAGGGTTTTTCTTTCCTTCCAAATTTATAATTCTTTATTTCTGTCCTGCCTCTAACATTTTCTAGTTTCCGACTTTTCTGAAATTAATATTTTTTTTCTTTAATTAGTAACAGTCACCAAATCCAATGTCTTCTTATTGGACTGAGTTATTGGATTCCACTTCTGTTCCTATTTCTCCCATTATAAGCTCCTATTTTTAAGCGCCATGATAAAATGTTATTTCCTTTAGGCCAACTCTTGGGAGACATGATGTTGGCACAGTTATTTTTTCAAACAAACTAAAAAAGTATGCTGCATATATTTAAGTTAAAATAAAAACTCCCCCTGCCTCTATTTAGTATCTACAGTGCAGAGTTGCAGCCACTTAATTTTTGAAATTTTGGTAACCAAACATTAAATGATTTACTAATACAGGAAAGTACTACAGATTTCATGGTATTAATTTTTATTATTAATCATGATTGGCTATTAAAATAATTCCAACATAATGTTCTCCATTCTTAAATTATTAGGTGGTATAGCCAATGTATACAAATGACGAAGAATAATTAGTGTAAGATCCCTATGATGTGTGGGGGGAAATTTTTTAAATTAATTTCCCATTGGAATAAAAAACATTATCAAATATATAATTTGGTATACCATGTCCTTTCGTCCTTTAGTGTCCAGGTTACCTTATTCTTTTAATTGATAATATATAAAGTTTTGAGATGCAATAACACAATGCCAAGATAATCTCAGGAAAAAGAGATGGTTAGTCAGAGTATATTGAGCCATATTAAGCCTTTATACTGGTCTCAAAACTGTATAGTTTTAAATCAGAATAGGTGCTAGGCCCTATTATGAATGCTTCATCCTTTATACAGGTCTTAATCTGTGCTAGGCCCTATTCTGAATGTATTATCATATACCAAAGAAGAAACAAGAGTCAAAACAACCAACATGCAGGGACAGAAAAGTAGAAAACAGACAGAAATGGGGTTTGAAGGGAAAGAAATGAAGTCTGGAAGAATAAGATGCACACGAAAAAATAGTCATAGTTAAGCATTATGGAATATACTTAGTAAGACTGTTTAAAATCCATGTGAAGAGCTCATAATTTATTACTTTATTATGTCTAAAGTCACCACAGACAAGTAGTTCAAAATGATATAAACTATACTCCATCTCTACTATATTTTTATTGTTATTTCACTGGTTGTGGCTCTCCAAAACTAAACCACAGACTTGGAATAATGCAGCTCCAGCTTTATGCTCTGTTGGTATCATTAAATATATTCCTGGGAGAGAGAGTCTATTGTCAGGTTATAATCTTGCAAGTGGAAACCAAATTGTCTCTGGTCAAATCAGGACTTCAGTGTACCACTTTCTCATTTGAGCAATGGAGATAATTAACAACACATGCCACGCAAGGTTGTTGTGAGGATTAAATGAGATAATCTATGTAATCTGCTTAGAACAGTGCCCAGAGAAACAGTAAGGGGTGCCAGTAGTGTTAATAACCATGAAGACACTGTAGTCCCTGTCCTCATGGAGCTTGCAGCCTAGAGAGAAAACATTTCTACAGAATTCGTTTAGAAAGAAAAGGCACTCAAACTAACTCAACCAAGGCACTCAAAAATATTTGGCAAACAAAATATCACTAGCCCTATGATGATAAGTAACCGGAAGTATCCTCATGCTTTTAAATAGAAGAAAACATAAAGTAACCTGTTTAAGATAAATTTTAAAAGAGAAACAAGATTCTTGCTATGACAGGGAGATAGGGGGCATTTATTCAAAAGGCATCCAGAACAATAGTCTTCCAGTAAACTGCTGGGTAAAGGTTTAGATGTAGCAGACCTTTATAATCCGTCATGTAGGAAACCACTTGTGTGATCACAAACCAATTCCTTAACTCAATTGAGCCTGTCTTCATAACTTTTTTAAATGAAGGAGTTGAGCAAGGTGATCTCTAAGACATTTTTTCATTTAACATATAATATTACATCAATGAATTTGGAAGATTTATCTGGAGGATTGATGTTTCCAAAATTGGTTTTTAAGAATTATAAAAGGCATAGGAACACAAGGAAAGAACAACATTAAAAGACTGAATTTGTACTCACAGGGTATGAATTTACAGGTAAAGAAAATGAATATTCAATTTTGGGGTTCAGATCATCTAGTTACTGAACTATCAAGGTATTTCTCCAGTACGTATGTTTCATATATGTTTTCCCAGTGGTCTCTTACAATGCATATCGTTAAATAATAAATAATAAAATAATGCATAGCTTGGTCCTTATAACACAGATATTCTTTATCATGTATCAAATACAGTTCTGAATGTCATTATTAAGTATTAGGAAAAAGTAATGTAAAATAAATTAGAAAGAACATTTACATATGTTACAAAGCATGAAAAAGAAATATATTCACAGTCTCTAAGGAAAAATGAAAAGGAAAAGAATTTTGAACAGTTTTTGAAAAGATGTAAGAGAGCACCCATTATAAAGGGAAGCTGTTCCTTATCTATGATTAATTTTTAAAATTATGTCTGGTACTAATTCTGTCTCTGTTTTAAGTCATATAGGACCAAATGTGGACCTTGAGAGAACAAGCAATTTGAAATCTAAAAAAAAAAAAAAATAGAAACACAGACACATTTTTTAAATGGAGTTAAGGTCTTAAACTTAGGCCACATTTGGCATCAGGTTTTAGTTTAGTTCATAAAACAATATCCACAGAGATTGCATGCCAGGCAACATTATATTTTCAGTATTTTTAAAAATTAACAAAGGAAGAGAGTCTGAATAATTAGAATGTAGAAGAATTAAAAGACCTGTATCATTAAAAGATGCTATTTCATTTGTTGCAATATACAACAAAATTCAAATTTAAAAAAACTTTGAAATGTTTTTTAATGAATGACTCTGAAAAAAAGCAATAAGAATATAAATAATTTAGTAAAATGAAAACTTAGCAAATGTGAAGCATGTTTTCTGGAGGTTAAATATTCATTCCTGACTATTATATTAGATATAATAAAGCCTATGCTAACCCTTTTAAGAATATAACAACCAAATCTACTATTCTTGATCAATATTCTGTATAGTTTACCATACCTGTGGGTAGCTGTCAGTCCTTGGCAAAACTGATATATCATAGGTGGCAGCAAAATGGCTTTTTGCTTGTTGTATTTGGCCATAACGTTCCCTTTTTCTCCACTTGGCCCTTCGATTTTGAAACCAAACCTAATTATTTAATAGAAAGTAGAATTTCAGCTAAGGAATATTTGGTAAGGCAAATGTGATGTTAAAAGACATGAAACCAGAAAGGTAAACACAGTAAAAAAAAAAAAAATACTTAAAAAGGAATATATGTTAGAAAAGGATATACAGCTTTTACTTTTTCTTGTATTTTGGTGTGGTAAGTGATATGCCCATGAGGCAAAATAATTTAATAAAAAGAGGTAGGAGACTTTTGGCAAATATATCTGATATGTATGAGCCTCTGTTTTCTCATTTAGGAAAAACCAAAAGGAATTAGATGATCTGATCTTGAATACTCGTTATATCTCCACATTGTCATGGATACGCCTCCTTTTAGAGAATGTTGCAAGTCTGGAAGACGTATAAACCATAACATAAACCTGGCCAATCTATAAGGGAATTAATAATATCTGAGTCTACTAAAAAATTATCCTTAAAATATATCAAAAAAGGGAAGGCTCTTCTGGATTGTGCTCATAACTAAATAATCTTTAAAAAATTTAATTGTAAAGATTATATCTAAATATATGGCAGCAGCAGGAACATCATGATTATCTAGAAATATGAAAAAAGATGAGATTACATATTGTAATAAGTATGACAAGAATTATAGGTAAAATTGAATCATCTAAAGTTGAACTATGGTTACATGAATGTGCTTATTACATACATTATGTTACTTACTTTCCCTTATGAAAATGCTCAGGTATTTTTAAATAATTTCTCTAATTTAAAGCACAGCTAATGGAAATAATAAAATAAATAGGGCAGATAGAATCAAGTGTCAAGAAAGTCTATCAGTTAGTGTGGCCACTACCAAGTCACTAAGCTATCTTCCACAATTTATCGTAAGAACCATCTTCCTCAGCAGGTGAAATATTCATTAATTCATACTTGCAATGCTCCAAGATCTTCATTTTAATATTAAAGGGAGATGCAGAAGGTTATATTCAATATGTATATTTTGATATTTTTAATTGAACATTATAGGAGTAGCTTTTGGGAATTTCTTTAGTCTTCACACAACTACGTTCAGAACATAAGATATTTAAGAAAAAAGCTAGGAATCAAATATAAGAAATGCAAGTTGTAAAAGCCTTTTGTTGAAGTTTACTTGAAATTTTCACTCTTTTTCATACTGAATTCTAATCTGTATATCTTTACCTTCACAATTAGGGCAGCATATTAATACTGAGTTTAATTTTTAAGTACACATTACAAATTTAACATGGCACTTTGAAGAGTTTTCAGCAATTAAAGTAAGCCAGAGAGCTACATGTTCATTATAGTTATAGTACATTGCTGATAAATGCATATTATCCATTATGCCCAAGGCTTAAAGACATCAACAACAAAATAATTGACAAAAAGACCTTGACAATTTCCTTAAAATGGGTACCAATTACCACTCTCATGTGCAAAGCAGGAAAGAAAATGACCTGAGTAAATTAAGTTCAGGTTGGCTCTCTGTGCATGTTCTTAGACAAAAATTAATCAAGACTTAGTGAATGTTAAAGGGAAAAAGATGCATTTTGTACAGTTCATCACTCTGTGTGCAAACGTATTTGTCTATCGTTACAAGTATAGCTAATTTAAATATAGGCAAAGAAAAAATCTCCAACATACAGGGTGGGTGTTAATATTTGACAATTCTAAAATTCTTTGTTAGCATGAACTTTCTACATATTTACTACCTGAACCGAGATAAAGTAGCCATTTACTTCCACAAACTTAAGTAAAAATCTGCTCCTTGTTATACGTGCACCACCAGATGTTGTCTCTAATGATGTAAGAGCCATACAATGGCTTAGTCGTAAGAAGAAATACTGTTACTTGATTTAGAATAAAAATTTTCACTATTTTATTCATTTCTCCATTTTAGTAGTTTATGGGAATTGCAGAAAATCAATACTTTCATAGAGGAGTCAAAAGACACACAAAGACAAAGGCCATTATACTCAATTATTGTTGAATTTAAAACTCTTTCTTATTACTTGCAAACTAGTAAAATATAGTTCAAGAATATCAAATGTAGTCAAAATAAAGTACTCTTAAAAGGTAAAATTTTACCTGGTATAATTTTTCTTTCTCAAACCATTTTTTTAAAATTAAGCATATTGGATCATCCAATTTAATAAATAGAATATATTTATGAATATAATTGAGTGTATGCAAAAATTTACTTCAAAGCCATTACTTTTACTGCCTAGGCAAAATTCATAAAATTTATCTAGACTTTAAAAATTATAATGGAATAGCACGTACTGACAACTACTAGAACTAGAAAATGTAAATGAACTATTTAATTTTTAAAAAATTATCCATAGTGAAAACATTTAATAGTATATGTAACAATTGGGAGTTTGTCGGATTGTTTCTTTTTTTCCTTTTATTATGCCTCCAACCTTAGTAAAATTGTAGATGTATGGCCTACTATACAAATAATTTACAAATACCTGATATGTAACTTAAAAACAAAACCTCAGTGGCTAATAAAACAGAAAAAAAATAGATATATCTATTACAAAACAGTCAAGATTCTGTTTTTCACCCATTAAAAACTGCTTTTTAAAAATCAGAGATGTATGATCACATTGTTATGTTTGAATGATTGTTGATTTTTATGTCTATGTAATAACTCGACTTCTTTTATTTACATTTTATGTGAGTTGTCAAAACCTTTGCAATTAAAACAATAATTTTAGTGGACATACATTCATATATATATATACATATATTACACTGTTTCTCATCTTGAGCTAGGGAATCAGCTTGTTTCTTTGTGGCAAAATGCACTTATTTAATTATTCTAACACCATGTATTTTCCTACCCCATCCATCAAGGCATCTCTTTGGCTCCTACCTGGACCCTGGCCTCAGTGAGCTCTGTCCTCAGAGCAAGCTGTTCTCTGACATATACATCCGGGTAATGAGTTTTCTGAAAGACCTTCTCCAGTTCCTCCAGCTGCAAACTGGTAAAGGTGGTTCGGTGTCTTCGCTTCTTACTGCTGGATACATTGCTGTCACATTTATCCCCAAGTTCATCCAGCTCTCCCTTCTCTTGCATCCCTTTCACGGGAGACATTCGGAGACTGTTACAGTTGTCCATAGCTCTATTCAGTTCGGTGTGAAGGGGCTGTCCTTCTACTTTAGTGATCCCATAGTTCACTGCACTCAGAGGGGAAAAAACAACAGTTCTCAGGATTGTGAAACACATCTCAGTTAAATCAGTAAGGAGAAGTAATTGAGAGTTTCAAGAAATTGGACTATTTTACAGGATTTATATATTAATGCATGTATTTTTAATCTAAATTAATGTACTCAAATTAAAGGATAATCTAGGTGTTCCATGAAAAATCCTAAGTGTTCATAATTTTTGAAAACGGAAGCAAATTTAATGTCAAGTATTTATTCACAGTGGATAAAGTCAATCTACTAATGTGGCTTAGGAAAATTATTTAAGATTAAATAATATTTTTGCACCGATATCCAAAAGTTATTGTCCCCCTCCACATAAAATGTACTGATGATAGACTTAAGATGTGATATCAATTCCACTAAATTTTGAATATTTCAAGTTTATATCTTTGTCTGCATTTACACTTTTTCTTCAAAAAGTGATTTACTAAATTGACAAATTTCATGTCAAATGTTGAAAAAGCTTTCTATAGGAAATTAGATTTAACCAACGTATTTTACCTAAAAACTTATGTAGCTTTAAAAAAAATCATATCTCTGCTTAGCTTGTGAAATATGTTTTAGGCTTGAATGTTTTACTTTTTTCTCTGTTGAAGCACATAAATTAAAACAGCTATTAAAACATTACTGAAGATGGCATCTAGCATTCTGTTAAGGGATGTTTAATTTCAGTGATTTTCTTCAGATTTTATTGCATGCTTGCAGTATGATATAAAACAAAAATATGCTACACACCCACAAATGCAATGAAGGCACATCATGAAATGGGAAGCACTTTTTAAAATGTAAAGTCAATCCAGCCAGAATAATAATTTCCAATAGATGATCATACTTCTTTTCATTTGTTTCTTTTTTAAAATTAACACCATAATGCATTTTAACAATTCTTTTCATCGTTATACAAATATATTCAACTTTAATGAGCATATAACTTAAATAGCTAATAATTGAATACTGTGCATTTTCAATGTCACTAATGGAGTAACTCTCAAAAATGTTCCTATTACAAAAAATGTCAAATATTTGAGGTGATGGCCAAGTTAATTAGCTTAATTTAATCATTCCACATTGTATTCAAAAAAGTAACATTACTTTGTACCCTATAAATTTATTCAACTATAAGTTTTCAATATATAAAAATTCTTAAAAATGAATGGTTTTCATGCAAAGGAAGATGTGATGCTAAACTAAATATAAAGAAGAGCCGTGACTGATTAACAATACGGTTTTGTCTCCTTGGGCAAAGTTAAATCGGGAACTGCAGCAATTAGGGATGGGGGAGGGGAAGCAGTGGAGAGGCTAAAGGCATCTCAAGAGAAACACAGGATCCCTCCTAAATTAAGTGGATGGCTGCCTATGTTCATCTTCTCTGTTATAAAGCATCTTAATAGTGTGATTTCGTTAAAAGTTGATAACGCATCAAAAACCGACCTATGTCTCTTATTTCGGATTCCCGACTATTTAAAATAAAATATTGTGATCAAGTCCATCCAGAGTGAATACAAGACATTGCAAAATCATTAAAGAAAGACCTGTCAGTTCAAATAACTTTACACATGCAGCTAAGAATTCCACAAACACAGATACCAGGTCTGAAACGCAGCCAGAAAACCAACAACTCAGTGTAAGAATAATGAAAAGTATTTGCTCGCATCTTTCTAAATAAATGACTGAAACGACTTAGCTGATTATTTTTTCTATCATTTGCGCGTTTATTTTTGACTTACCCTTAGTCAAAAGTTATTTGGTACGTTAAATGAAATTAATAAAATATGAGATTTAAAAAATAACTTGTGTTCAAAATATTTAGAAAATGAGCCTCTACAAGCCGGTGTCTTGTCAGATTTTGAATCTCCATAAAATAGGGGGCAGGGGGCTTGTTGTAAATATTTCACACTTAATTCGTTTGTTATTTTAAAGCAACCCGCCCTTTATAGCTTAACTGTGGAATATATACAATGATAAGGAAAAATTCTCTTGGAATTGTAAACGTGCTTTAGCTGTCGCGTTCTAAAATAATAGATTCGTATTAGGTTACAAGATAGAAAAGATAGATGGTTTGTTTTGATAACACTTTGACTCGGAGATAGATTCAAAGTTGAAGATTTCACCCAGAAGCATTCCGAGGACTCCTTAGCTGACTTTTAATGTGAAGTCATAAAAACAGAAAACGAATGATCTGGGAATGAGTGATTAGACCAGAGATGCTTTGTCCGAAGCTATTTAAAGTGCTTCGGGTCTGCAACAAAAATTTAACGAGTGTTGTATTGCAAACGCAAAGAAGCAGAAATTACAAATTCACACACGCTAGAAATCTAAGGATCCTCCAACGTTGAAAAAATATCGCCACGTCTTGGAAAATTAAAAAGATTTGTTTTTACCTAAAGGAGCTCAAAGGGTTTTCTTTTTTGTTGTTTGTTTTTCTGACTTGCGACGACAGTGACGTACTCTAACGAGCTGTGATCGATTTCAGTTCCTCCCGCCAGGACAGCTAGGCGGGCTCGCAGAGGAAGCGTTCTGTCTTGACTCAATTACGCCCTATTTAGCGCCCTATCAGTTTACTCCAGGAGCCAGTATTACAGAGGGACTCAGGGATCCCCAGGCGACCAGACCCTACAGCGAAGGAAGAATCGCTCGGAGGCAACCTAGTGCTGGATCTCTCCCGCCCTCGGCCCCAGACCCCCGGCCCCCAAAGGCTGCTGCTGCGGTAACACCGCTTCGCAGAGCACGCACCCCTCCACTGCCTTCCTCTTCCACCCTCCAGCTCCCTCGCTTCCTCTTTTCCCCTTCCTCCCTCGCTGCGGGATCTGACCGATCCCACATTTCGGATTGCGGAAGAAGCTGTGGTGGCTGTGGCTGGGGCGCTAGGGACTCACCGCTGCTGTCCTGACAGGGCGAGGTCCTCTCCAAGCGCACGTGATGCTCCGCGCGGGGCAGGGGTCCGAAGGCCTGCACGCATTTGCTTGCAGACGCTTTGCTGTAAAAGGACTCATTGTCCAGCGTCTCCATAACGTGCTCCAGCGGACCTCCTGAGCCCATGTAAAAGTCACTGTTTTTACTCGGAGGGCTCTTGAGGGCAAATTTCTCGCTCAGAAACTCCATAATCCTGGAAGACTGTCGCGTAGCTCCTGGGGCGCAGAAGCTGGAGAGCGCTGGGGGAGGGAGCCAGTGGGCGGGAGGAGGGAGGGCCAGAGAGGAGGGAAGGGAAAGCTAGCGTTGCGGCGCAGGGAGCTGCCCCGCTCCGGGCCCTTTAATACGTCCCGGCTGGAAAGGGAGCACCCGAAGTTGCTTTTATATCTTGAAACTCAGCTGGGCTCCTCGGGCAACCTCCCAGTTCTAATGAATATGAAAATAGGCAGGCGACTAACTCCACCCCGGGTCCCCCCTCCGCCCCCACCCCACCCCCATTTTCCCCACTTACCCCGGTAGGGCGCGTCCAGGCCTAGGATAGACAGACAGACAGCTCCATTTCAGAAATGCCAGGAGAGACGACCCCCGACACCCAGATACTTTGCCGCCGTGACAGTGGACTGGCATTTTCGGAAGATCTTGGTGAGGCAAAGCAGTTAAACCTCCACTCCCCGCTGTCTGCGCCTTCCTGAGCCACCCGTCCCCACCCCGCCCCCACGCCGGCCACTATCAGAAAGATTTAGAGGCGTCTTAAGAACTTGAAAGGAAATATTGCTCTAAAGGGCTTTTATTTCATCCGTAAATCGTTTACGTGGAAGATCCACATTAATCCGAAGCCCAAGAAACCAGATGCATTGGCAGTTATGAATCGCAGCGGCAGTGGTAGAAGGGCGGCTTCGGCTTCTAACCCGGAGGATCTCGGCGTCCTGGCGCGCTGGGCCCTTTACGACGCCGCCGTGGTCTTTTCTTTTTCTCTGGAATGCGGCGGCTTGTGGACGCGGTGGCGATGGGTGGGAGACAGAAGCCAAGCAAGAGGCAATGAAGTTATTATACCAATACCAACCAATTCCCTACCCTCTTCCCCACCCTTCCCTTAGGTCCAGGATTTTATCATCAGATTCAAATTGTTTTAAGAAAATCCGTTAGGATAAATTCCTTTGAAGGGCTTTTACTTTAATGCCAAAGGGAGGCTTATTACAAAAAAATAGGTTTATGAAGAAGAGGAGGAAAGTCTGCATAGTTTTACAGAAATTACTTTTAAAGAGTCGCTTTGGAGTTACTCTGAAAAGCGCTCTGGGAGTGGTGCGGGCGCGGAGCTGGGCGCATTAGCCGCCCGGCGCGGCGCCCTGGGCGCTGGCAGGTCCAAGGCCTTCATTTCCGCCGGTGGGGATGGTAGGGCGAGCAGGACAGCACTGCTAGATTGAAAGCCCTTCTGTGTGACTTTCGGCACGACTCTGGCTTCCTAGGAGCCCGCCACGTCTGGGGCAAATGCTTTAGCTGTCCTGGGCACAAAAACGCATTTGCATCGGGCACCTTAAGCTAGCAGATTTGGTGAAAATAAGCTCCACAGGTTGTAGACCAGGTAGGGCTCTGCTGCCGCGTCCTGACACAGCCTTTGTCAACACTGGCACCCATGGCAAGCCTGGCAATTATGGTGAGACCTCGGGTAGGCCGAGCGGCCCGGACTCTAAGGATGGCGAGGCCAAGCCCAGCTGTGATGGGCATGCTGATGGGTTTGAGAGTTCCCACTTTCTGCGAGGATCTTGACTGACCCACGCTTCTCTGGTGAGACCTTCTTGGAGGCCTGACCAGGCCTCAACCAGAGAGCAACAATCAGGGAGCGCTGTGTACCCCAGAGCTGCTTCTTAGTATTGCCCTAACGGCGGGGTCCGCCCTAAGCGCCCAGATCCAACCGGGAGAACCAGAGCAGATCGGAGGACAGCAGCAGCCTTGGTCTCCCGGCCTGGGTCCAAGCCAGACTGTTGTCTGGAGGAGGCGCGCAAGCTTAGTTCACGTGGAGCCGCGCTCAGTGTGGCGCTGAGCGCGCACTCAGATTCAGGCGAGTGGCCTCTGGAATAACTAGCTTCTTCTGTATTATTATTACTCTCTCCGGCGAAGTGCTGCCAGCATCAACTGCAGATTGTTAAATTTCAGAGGAGCAAGGTCAAAGAAAAGCACTGGGGACTGCGCTTCATCAGGAGCCAGGCTGCGTCAGGGCGCAGGAACTCCAAACCAGACAACCTCGCATTCTGAGGCCAGACCGAGGGAAAGAGGGTCAGGTGTCTGAAGAAGTCTTTGAAACGCTCTCCGTAAAGTGTCCTGTATCATTCCGTCCTTGCGTGAGCAGGAGCCTCAGCTCTATGTTTTTGGTTTTTTTTGAACACTTTCTAGCTGGCTCCTGGGCAGCCTTGTGGAAACGTTGAGTGTTGTTACTCACTCCTCTTCGGTTGGCCATTTTTGATTCTTTACTATCCCCTTTGTTGCCTTCTTATCTTCAGGTATTCTGAAAGTCTTTCTCTAATAAACACCGGGAAAGATAAGAAAATTGTCGTTTAATATGTTTTTCAAAAATTCCCAGCAGCAAGAACATCACCTATTGCTGACTTGAAGAAATATACAAACTAGTTATAAACCAAGATATCTCGTAGAGCTTTGTCAGTTTGTTTATAAATATATATCTTAAGAGCCCCAAATTTCCGGAAAAACAATCGGTGTCTTTTAAATGAAAGACATATGATGCAAGTTCTAGGGTACTAGTATGCCAATAAAGGTCCAACTCAGAGAGGAAACTAAACGGTAGCTGAGGACAAGAGCTGTCCAGTGAACCCGTTTCTACCCCATTACCCAAATGCACTTTGATGGCAGTGGTTAGAGGGATGGGGTGTAATATGTCACCAAACGCACATAATATTCCTGGAGCTCCATGGAAACGCAAATATGCTACACGGAATCCCGTGTGTTTTGTGACATGTAACCACATGTGCCCATAACATAGGGAACAGCTAACGGCAAACTCCCATAACAAACGTTTTAATCTGCAGTTTTTGGCAAGAAGCTGGGTATTTGGTTGCCAACAGCTGCATTACATGAATTTTGAGAGTTTGAGATTGTGTTTATGGTTATGACACAGCTCTAGAGATGGGGCATTAATAATACATTGAAAATAATACTAATTAAAACAATAATAATTAAACAATTCCTAAAAGTCACAAGAAGGAAGAAGAAATTAGATTGGAGGCTGTTTCACTTTCCCTGCGATCTACCTGGGCTTTCTACCTGGGCTTTCTCCACCGATGCTCTGAGGACAACCTTCTTGGAAATTGACCATAGTACTTTGATAAATGTTTTCAGCCTTCCAGATCCAGCTTTGCTCCTACAGTATGCTTTTAAAAACCCTTCCCGATTCCAGCAAGTCAGCTTGGCCCAGGCCCCAGGGGCAAGTGTTCTGAGGGGTAATCAGCTGGTTATACATATACATATATATCATATATATATATCTCATATATGCATGTGTATATATATATGAAGGGGTTTATTGTCAGGTTCTAGTTGGGGTTTTTATCTTCTGGGGACTCAGCCCATCAACTCCAGGCATCAGTTCTCTTCTTTGCCCACGAATTTTGCCTTTGAGAGTATTGTTCATCTCTTCCCATATTCAGGATATAAACCCAGGATTCAGCTGTCCTTCTTTGATGTCAGTCAAGACATCTAACTAGAATAAGCCACTGTGCATCCTTTTCTGATTTGCTTTCTTCAGATCTCAGCTTTCCTGATGGGCACCAAGGCTTGCAAGAAGTGGTGGGGTGAGAGAGGGGGTAGGAGAGCAACAGAGGTGGGGAGTAATTGATTTCTTTTCAAGCCTAAAAATATGTAAGGCATCCTAGGATTCCAGCACTTTTGGATCTTCACTGTGTGGTGATGCTTCTCTACTTCTTCTTGATGGGGATGAGGAGTAGTGAGTGCCTGCTGGTGAGGTGCAGGGTGGGGATCAGGAGGAATAATGAGGGTTAACAAGATGATTACAGATTCAAGTCTCAGCCTCTCTGAAAAACTTTCTCCCCTAGTAATTGAGATGTGTTGGAGCAAACTAGATCATTCCTCTGTCACCAAGGGATCCTAACAGAGGGGGAGAAAGCTATTTTGTGAAGATAAAGATGACTGATGCTACCATTTGAAGTGACATCTAACATTATTCCTTACCCAAATAGTGATTTGGGACATTTTTTAAAAGTTTTCTTTAGTTCCCACTTAAAGCCTAGAATTAAAATAATTGAAGAAGTTAAAATCATTAGAAAGTCCATTGAAATGACTATTTGACACTCCCTCACCCCCAAAGTAATGCTTTATTAGAAAGTAAAATTCAGATAAAGGATTCCCAGATTAAGGCTCAATTAAAAAAAAAGAAAAGGAAAGAAAAAAAAAAAAACCTCACAGACTAAAAGCAGCTTTTAAAGCCCCTCTTCCCTTTATGAATATGTTTTGGGAAATGAAAAATATTTATGTATGCACCATTAAAGCAGTGGTAGAAGAAATGCATAGACTGCTCCAGTTTCTTCTGATTTCAACTTATTGAGAGAAATGTCACACTTACATACTAATAGTGAGAATGTCAAGCTAGAATTGCTAAGATTCTTAGCACTTCCTTTTTGCAGTGAGAGTTTGAGGTTTACTGTAAGTAGAGCAAGGGAAGAAATGCGTGCTGAATCGGGCGAACTATGCCAAATGTAGAAAAGCAATGGTCTGAAGAGGGGAGGAGCTCGTGAAGAGAAACTTTCATGAAAAGTTTCTGAAATAATTGAATGTCATGTAGCATGGCAAGATGCCAGGTGGCCTCGTGTTTGTGTGTGCTCTGCTGCTGTTTTCCCGCCCTGGCTTCATCTTCTGCCTTCCCGCAGATCTGCAGACATAACAGATACTGAAATTTATTCTGCACCAAAGCAGCTAAAGAGGTTTTCATCAAAATAAAAATATATTCACGCACAATGATATATTTAGGATTTTATTTAAAATATATGCCCAATCCACCATCATCTATTCCAGAAAACACACCTACAGACCAAAGTGTAAATTTGTGACAGTTTTGAAGTTTCTGCCTTTAAAAAGCAATTACACAGATGTTAATCGATCTTGTAAATCTTTAAACTATGCTACTGCAAACTTGTCCAGTATAATGAATTAAGTTTTTACACTGATTGTAATAATAATATTAAATGTTTTGGTGTTTCAGAAACTTGTTTTTTTTTTTCCAAAAAGTGATGCTTGTTTCTGAGTATCAACGTGTTTCAATAATAGTTTTTCACAAAGTTGCCTTTTTCTTAAAAGAGAGAGAAATAAACTTCCGTTCTCC